AAGTTCTATAAGCTGGAACATCCTCAGATTAAGTGTCTCCGCTGGGGAGGGTGAGTATTTCTACATTGCTCAGAACAAGTGCAATAAGCTGGAACACTGTCAGCTTACGTGTCTCTGATGGGGAGTGTGAGTATCGCAACAACATTCAGAACAAGTTCTATAAGCTGGAACATCCTCAGATTAAGTGTCTCCGCTGGGGAGGGTGAGTATTTCTACATTGCTCAGAAATAAGTGCTACAAGTTGAAACACCCTCAGAGAATGACCTAAGTGGCCTGAGTAACATATATGTGCCTTATAAATATAATATAGTTAACATAAAGCCAGATATTATATGTAACTAATTGTAAAACACGCTAAGTTTTTCATGTTGTACAATTTACGCAGGAAACCTGGGTGGGTCAGAATACTGTAAAATTTCATTTTACCCCACCAGTTCTTTTGGTTTTGTTGTTGTTGTGTTTTGTTTTGTTTTTTACGTTCGTAACATAATTTATACAGAAAGAAAATGTTCTAAGGGAATTTTCTGAAACTTGTTTTTAGATTTTCTCAACTTGCCAGTGGAGAGACAGTGTCTGAAAGCAAGATAGGAACTAACAAAGCCTAGTGATAACTTTATTTCTCAAGTATGTTTCTTTAAGCGCAATAACTCCATCTATTCGTGCTTCAACTATGATAGTTCCTCAACAAACAAAAAGTATTTTCTTCTTCTAACAATATACATTACTTTCTGTAACAACCCACTAACAGCAAAAGGGAAAAAAACCTTCTTCTCATTGAGACCCAATAACTACAAAATACATCCTTATTCTAACAAAATATTAACAGCTTACACATAACTTCCTAACATCTCTGTAACTGTAAACGTCACTTTCTTCGTAGCAACCATACCTCCCACTTGTGCTCCTATCGTAAGGCTGGACGTGGCCAAGTGGTTATTGTGCCGAACTGTGAATCTCACGGTCCATATGCTCTTGCTGCAGAAACGCGCTCCGCACTTTGAGGCAGTTTGTGCGCTATAAGAATAGAGATCAAATCCCCGTTATTCGATCAGAGAGTCCAAGAGTTGGCAAGGGCGTTGTTGACTAGCTAGCTGCCTTCCCTCTAGTCCATCAGTTGAAAATCACAAAGCTGTGTGCAGCTAACCCTTGCGTAGCTGTACGCGAAAGTTTTAAAACTAACAGGTAAGATGTAATTACAGTAGCCGATCTTCTTCTAAAAGACGAGTTACTAGACACAACCTCAAGATTGAAATTTCTTTTCTTTTCAGGTTGCTACAGATGAGTTGTCAAGAGTATGAACTAGACGTTTCGAAACCTAAGATTTGGCAGTTTTTTGATGCGGTAGAGTACAGGAAACCGAAACTGTAACTGAACACGTCAAAAGCAAAACTGGTTGAACCAGCTTCTAGAAAAACGTCCTGACACAAATATTATCTAACTATTTATATCAGTTGTAAATAAATAAATGTAAAGAAAGCAGTAGCTCTAACTGTCGTCTCTCGCTATATTATCTGGTACAAGTTATATAACCACTCCCTCACCGTTCAATATAGGTTTTCACTACTAAGTTATATAACCACTCCCTCACCGTTCAATATAGGTTTTCACTACTAAGTTATATAACCACTCCCTCACCGTTCAATATAGGTTTCACTACTAAGTTATATAACCACTCCCTCACCGTTCAATATAGGTTTTCACTACTAAGTTATATAACCACTCCCTCACCGTTCAATATAGGTTTTCACTACTAAGTTATATAACCACTCCCTCACCGTTCAATATAGGTTTTCACTACTATTTACATATTAACACGACCTTGCCTGGTAAGTTCTTCTATTGCGTATTTCTCTATCATCAAAAGCAACTTTGCGAATTATCTTGAAAAGTTTAATGTGTTATGTTGTTTGTTTTTAATTAAACTTCTAAAATGTTTAAGAAAATCTACTTTTGTTGATTATATATATATATATTCTTTTGAGAACTGTTGGTTAACACCAACCATTTGTGTGTTGTTCTAACGAAATAAAATACTGTCAGTTGATTGGTTATTAATTCAACAGTAGGGAAGTTTTAAATGCCTGCTTATATTCACTGACGTTAGCATCCGAGTTTGTTTGCTCGGTGCTCGCCATCTTTGCCCGCTAGTGACAAAGCGATATGTGTGCGGACTTACAATGCTAGATTTGGGTTTCGATACCCGTGGTGGACAGAGCACAGGTAGCCCATTGTGTAGCTATATATCTAACTTGAAACAAACAAACAAATCGTCATATTTAGGTTATCATCAGAAACCCGGAGAAATGGATGGCTTACGTTAAAAACTGAACAAAAAAATAAAGTGAAAATGTTCTTTAAATAAACACATATATGAAGTCAATTTAGACACACTTTGTACGACCGGGTGTGGCTTGGTAGTTTGGGTGCTCGGCTCGCAATCTGCGGGTCGCGGGCTCGAAACCCGTCACTGAATCTGCTCGCCCTTGTTGGTGTTATACCGTGACGGACGACCAATTCTACTAATAGTCTGTAAACAGTAGCCCCAAGGTTAATGGTGGGTGGTGTTCACTAGCTGCCTTCCCCCCTAGTCTAGTACTTCAAATTTAAGGACGGCTAACACAGATAGCTCTAGTGTATCTTTGTTAAGGACGGCTAACACAGATAGCTCTAGTGTATCTTTGTTAAGGACGGCTAACACAGATAGCTCTAGTGTATCTTTGTTAAGGACGGCTAACACAGATAGCTCTAGTGTATCTTTGTTAAGGACGGCTAACACAGATAGCTCTAGTGTATCTTTGTTAAGGACGGCTAACACAGATAGCTCTAGTGTATCTTTGTTAAGGACGGCTAACACAGATAGCTCTAGTGTATCTTTGTTAAGAACGGCTAACACAGATAGCTCTAGTGTATCTTTGTGCGAATACCAACAAACCGACTTCATTGTTTGGTTTGGTTGTTGTTAAGTACAAAGCCACATAATGGGCTAGCTGTGCTCTGCCAACCACGAGTATCGAACCCATAGTTTGAGCGTCGTAAGCCTGCAAGCTTACACTAAACCACAAACCAACAACGGGTGTATAGATAAATTGAAAGAGAAGTGATCATACGAGATATCGAAGACAAAACGATGTTGAGATATAGATGGATATGTCATATCCTAAAACTTTGGGTTGTACTATTTTTCCTTCAATCTGTAAACTTCACTTATGTGTATTAATCATCATTTACAAATGTTTACCATTGCTTACATCTAATTTCGGAATGACTACTGTTATTCCTTGTCGGACTTTCAAGATGGCGTCAGTTGTGACAATGCTGGATTCTGTGACGTCACGTGAAAATTATATATTTTGGAGCAATAGTTGTTTAACAATGTATTGGAAATACAAGACACACTGAAGTAGTTCATAGTTATAAAAAGTAAATTGCTACCAATCAGTTGTACACAACAAATATTTATTGATGTTTGCGTGGTGTGTGTATGTACATAGATATACACAGAATGTTCTAGATTACGTGAATATTACAAATTTGAACCACAAAAAAGCCAATAACAGTTACAAACTTACAGTTTATAGTGGATAAAGAGCACTGATATTCAGTTTTTTTGGCCATACACCATTTACCATCAGTACACCTCTACATGTGCTCCGTTGTGGACCTCAAGATGTCAAATCGATATTTCATTTCCATT